GAGATCCTGGAGGGTGGGGGCTGTTTCTCACACAGTTCTGTGTGTGACACAGCCTTTAATACACAGTAGGTGCTTAATAATGAGTCATTTGAATGATGAACCCCTGGGGAAACAGATGAAAAGTGTTGGGTGGAGAAAGGTGCCTTGAGCTGGCCAGTCAAGACTGCTTCTCATCAGTCACTTCCCTGGGCCTCCTTCTCATGCTAGTAAGTTACAATTTTAGTTCACTGTGTTTTGTAGTAAGCCTCCTTAACTGTAGTGAAATAAAGGCATACAGAAAAAAAGTAATCCCAATTAAGGCTATGTGTGTCCGTTTAGGGGAGAGGAGTGTACCCCCAGCAAACACTTACTCTCCAGCTGGGAGAGCCTTGCACACAGACTCCAGGGTGGCGCCCAGAGGGTCCTGAGCAGCCCAGAAGATGGCATCACCTGAGGGTTTTCTCTGAGGGCTTTCTTGTTTTCTATTTCTGCTTGAATGATGTACCCATCCACGAATCCATTGAAACTTTATTGAGCACTTGATGCCACACTTATGGCAGAAAGTGAAGAGGACTAAAGAGCCTCTTGATGAGTGTGAAAGAGGTGAGTGAAAAAGGTGGCTTAAAATGCAACATTCAGAAAACAAAGATCTTGGCATCTGGTCCCATCACTTCATGGTGAACAGATGGGGAAAAAGTGGAAACAGTGACAGATTTTATTTTCTTGGGCTCCAAAATCACTGCCGATGATGACTGCAGCCATGAAATTAAAATATTCTTGCTCCTTGGAAGAAAAGCTATGACAAACCTAGACAATGTATTAAAATCAGAGATGTCCTTTTGCCAACAGAGGTCCATCTAGTCAAAGCTATGGTTTTTCCAGTAGTCATGAACAGATGTAAAAGTTGGACTGTAAAGAAAGCTGAGCTCCAAAGAATTGATGCTTTCACACTGTGGTGCTAGAGAAGATACTTGAGAGTCCCTTGGCCTGCAAGATCAAACCAGTCAATCCTAAAGGGAATCAGTCCTGAATATTCACTGAAAGGACAGATGCTGAAGCTGAAGCTCCAATGCTTCACCTGATTCGAAGTGCTGACTCATTGGAAAAGATCTTCATGCTGGGAAAGATAGAGGGCAAGAGGAGAAGGGGACAACAGAGGACGAGATAGTTAGATAGCATCACGAACTCAATGGACATGAATCTGAGCAAACTCTGTGAGATAGTGAACGACAAGGAAGCCTGGCGTGCTTCAGTCCAAAGAGTCACGAAGAGTCCGACTGGATTTAGCAATTGAACAACAACAACAATTTGCCAGACCCTGGGGACAAAATGGTAAGCCTAGCAGTCCCCGCCCTACCCTCATGAAGGTTCCAGTATCTCCTGGAAGAACTGCAGAAGAAAACCAGCAGGCAGTCAGCTTAAACCCAGACTGTGCTTAGTCACTCAGTCGTGTCCACTCTTTGCGACCCCACAGACTGCAGCCCGCCAGGCTCCTGTGTCCCGGCAAGAATACTGGAGTGGGTTGCCATGCCCTCCTCCAGGAGGATCTTCCCAACCCAGGGACAGAACCCAGGTCTCCCGCATTGCAGGCAGATTCTTTACCATCTGAACCACCAGGGAAGCCCAGATTCCAGGCTACAAGGACAGAAATAAACACAACCCTGAATCAAATTGCGTTAATGGATACGCCTTAAGAATGCTGCTCCCTAGCGCCCCCTGCTGGCCTCATCTTGCACCAGCGGCCCCAGGCCAGCACCTTCCGTGCCTGCTCCCACCACAAGCTTAGCTCTGTGGTTGGCTGCCGGACACACGCTTTCCTGACTACAAGCATCTGAGCTGGAGACGCCCTGACTCCAGGTTCTAGCAGCTGGAGCACACAGTTTAACGGTAAATCTGGAGTGGACCGGGTTTCCTCAGAGAGAAGGGAGTCTGCATGTCCAGAGTTCCCGGAGGTGGGGACTCGGGGAGTCCGGGCGCTGGTCGCAGAGGGTAGTGAAAGGCAGAATGGTGAAAAGGGCAGGAGGAGGCAGCCGACCAGATGTTTGCTGCTGTTCAGGGGACTGGAAAGTTTCCTGTGTGAGTCCTTTTCTCTGCTTTTAGGAAAATATTTCATGAAAGGATGTAGTTTTCTAAAATCAACTGTGAAAACTCAAGGGTATGCATGAGCTCCCTTCACTGAAGGCCTTTGTTTAATGGGATTATAGGAAGCTAATTCCTCTATGGCTCAGTCGGTAAAGAATCCGCCTGCAATGCAGGAGAAATAGGAGACACGGGTTCAATCCCTGGGTTGAGAAGATCTCCTGGAGGAGGAAATGGCAACCCACTTCAGTATTCTGGAAAATCCCATAAATAGAGGAGTCTGGCAGGCTACAGTCCATGGGGTCGCAGTGTCAGACATGACTGAAGTGACTTAGCACACATAGCAAGGTAGCTCATTTTCCTAGAGCATTGATTCCTGGAAGAAGTGTCTGGAGTTTTCATGTATTCTGGGCAATTAGTGGGCTCTTAGGTTGACTTGGCTTATGTGAGAAGATGGAAAACCTTGGAATCTGGAGACCAAGTTTTCTGTCTGGTTCTGCACTCATTGGCTGTGTGACCTTCAGCAAATTCCTCTCCTTCTCTGGGCCTTCCTTTCTCATCTGGAAGTACCCTTGTGACTCTCGTGTTCCCTGAAGGCTTTGGGAGGGAGATTCTGGGAGGAAGCAGCGAGCAGAGCTCCACTGGAGGTGGTGGTAGCAGGTCAGGGGAAGCAGGATGTGGGGGCCTGGTCAGTCCTTATCACATCAGGCTCCAGGGGAAGACAGGACAGTGAACCACAGTGATAGAAAAAAGGTCAACAACCCAACAGTCACATTTCTTTCCCTAAGCACAATGACTTTTGCCAGGAACCATGAAGAACATTGAGAATGATTGCTTTCGCCTGGCATTTAAAAACTGGGTTGGTCCAAGTGAAAATGCCAGGGATTGTTAAACTCTTCACCCCTGACTGGCACCCACACAGCACAACAGTGACTTGCCTGCAGCTTAGGGGAGACAAAGTGAAAAAGAGATGAAGTGTGGGTAAAAAAAATACAAAAATTCACTAAAGGGCAGTGGGAACCGACTGGTAAAGCCCTGAGAAATATAGATTGTGTGTTTCTGGATTATCCAAGGCAGAGCTGTATTGCAAAAAGGAAATCAATATAAGGGAAGTCAGAAAACCTGATTTCTAGTCCTACTTTTGAAGGACAGGGAAGCCTGGTGTGCTGCAGTCCACGGGGTTGCAAAGAGTTGGATATGACTTAGCGACTGAATATCAGTCCTGTGTTCTTCGTTTACAAGCAGTGATACTGAGCAAATTGAAGACAGTAAAAGTACATACATTTCTCTTTATCCAGAACTCTTTTTCCTCCATGAAGCTGGCAGCCCAAGAATGATCTTAGTCCTTCCAACAGAAAGAAAACATACATAAGAGTAAAGCCAAACAGATTTGAATCGGTTCTTGCTGACTATAAGGTATTTTTTTAAAAAAATCATTTTGGTAATGTTATTATCTGATTCAGGAACCGAGAATAGTAACCTTTAGTTAGCAGTAAACAGACACCTACTTGTAAGTATCTCAAGTTCAAGGCTAACTTAAGAACCAATCAAATAAGAATACACTCTTTAGAGCAAAATATATTTTCTCAGTCTTGAGGTGAGTCTGCCCCAGGACGCATCTGAAATATTTATTTCACTAATACTGAAGATGTTATTGGTACCAGAAAACATCAATTGCTTCAATGCAAACATTATTTTAAAAGTTACTAATGAGGCTGTTACACATGTTTTGATTTGTATACTTGATGGATTTCGTTTGTTTTATTGGGGGGGATTTTTCTCTTTAGGTTTATTAATATAAAGCAAGGATTATTAACCTAGGGTCCAGAAAGCCTGTGAATTTAAATGGAAAAAAATTACATCTTTATTTTTAATTGGACTTTAACATTTCCTTCCATAAATCCAAAATTGTATCAGCAGTATCTGCGACTTTGTCACCACCAATAGAGATCATAGACATTTTATATTTCAAATTACAGTTGTTGCAGATAGCATACAATAGCATTTGCACTCAAAACTACTTTGAAATTAGACACACTCCCCCGATCTTGTTTTAAATACATTAATGAAAAGGACATGAATATTTCAATTTTTTAAATCTTTCAGTAGTAGTATTTAAATATCATATGTTTTCTTTACAATCCTCTATACATTTAAAAATATCTTCCTGGGAAGGGGTCCACAGATGTCATCAGCGAGACTGATGGCATTTGCACACACATGAGTGCACACTCATAGTAAGAGAACTAGTCTAGAGGTGATCATTGACTTTGGTGCCTGAGATGCAAGACTGAAGTCAGAAAGTCCTTCTGGAGACACGTCCACTCTTGTTTTATAGTGAGGGACAGGGGAAGAATTCTGCTTCCAACTGCTTTTAGAGGATGGCTATTCCCCAAAACCTGGTGGCATTTTGCCCTTGTACCCTGCTCAGCCACTTTCATCTCTGTCACTGCTACAGGGACAGAGGGGCTTGTCTTAGCTATGGATGTATCCTCATTTTCTAAGACAGGGCCCGACACAGAGCGGGTTCTCGAGAAAGTTTGCAGAGTACATGGAAATATGAACTAGAAATAAATCCTTGTTGAAACAGACACACAAGTAGTGGTGCTGGATGAGGTGGGCTCGTGTGAGGGTGTGTGAGAAAACAGGCCGGGGATACAGGGACTGTGTTGGGGGGTGTGTGCTGCGGAAAGTGGGGCATTCTTTTTTAAAAGAAATTCAAAACAGACTTCTAGAAGGTCATTTTTTAAGAATCTTGCTGGCAGTATGAAAACACCCCCCCCCCCCCACCGCCTGCGCATGGCCCCACCCGGCCTCACGTGGCCACCTCATTCTCCCTGCACGCAGGGCTGGCTCCTGGCATATATGAGTCTCTGTGGAGCTGGGGCAGGAACCAGCAAGGCCCATCCAGACACCCCTCGGTGAGGCGAGAGTGTCTGAGGAGCCTCACCCAGGCTCTGCACTGAAGGCCTCCGAACACATCGCTGCCACCACAGTCCCAAGATGCCAGCAGTCCAGCTGCTACTGCTGGCCTGCCTGGTGGGGGGTGTGGGGGCCAGGACAGCCCAGTTCCAGAAGGCCAACGACCAGAGTGGCCGATGCCAGTACACCTTCCGAGTGGCCAGCCCCAGTGAATCCAGCTGCCCTGAACAGGACCAGGCCATGTCAGCCATCCAGGAGCTGCAGAGAGACAGCAGAGATCAGCGGGCCACCCTGGAGGCCACCAAGGCCCGCCTCAGCTCCCTAGAGGCCGTCCTCCACCGCCTGACCTCCGGCCAGCCCACTGGGCCCTTGGAGGCCCAGCAGGGGCTGCAGAAGGAGCTGGAAGCCCTGAGGAGAGAGCGAGAACAGCTGGAAACCCAAACCCGGGAGCTGGAGTCAGCCTTCAGCAACCTCGTCCGTGACAAGTCGGCTCTGGAGGAAGAGAAGAGGCAGCTGCAGGCGGAGAATGAGGATCTGGCCAGGAGGCTGGAAAGCAGCAGCCAGGAGGTTGCAAGCCTGAGGAGGGGCCAGTGTCCCCAGGCCCACAGCAGCTCTCAGGATGTGCCATCAGGCTCCAGGGAAGGTAAAGTGGGGTGAAGGTGACAGGATTCACGGTGACCTGTTACAGGTGGCCCAGGCCTATCCTTCCTACCCTATCCTTTCTCCCAGAGACCACACATGTAGCATGAGGCAGACAAATGAAGGAGGGCAAAGCAACCACTTTCACATATTCCTAGTACATTAGTTCCTGAAAATTCTTTTGAGGTTAGTGGTTCTGGGTTCTTGTGCTCACCCGTGACAGTTTTCAGCATTCACAGCAAAATGAGAAATAGAAGGACCAGATGAGATGCCTATATATATATGATCAGTAGAAAGTTGCCAACTCTCCTTTTAGAAAACTATCCTTTTGTGAATCTTTGTTCAGAGGTTATTGATTCTTGCCTTTTGTTGTTAAAATGACCTCTATTTATGAAATGATTTTAGGTGATAGGGTTTTTTTTTATGTCCTTCCTTAGCAAAATAAAGAGGCAGCAATCCTTTTGTGTGTTCCCTCACTGTGTTGTTTTGGAAGTTTTCCTGCTCTTTGGGTAATCTGATAGGGATTGACTTAAATCTGTAGACTGCTTTGGGTAGTATTGCCATTTTAACAGGATTGATGCTGGAAGTTTTCCTGCTCTTGATTCAGTCTGAGAACCTCTGTCTTTAAGTCACTTTGAGGTGGCTTTTGCTACCTCAGATGCTGTCCTGTTCCTACTGCCCCTGCCAGAAGGTGAGTCCCTGAGTGTCTGGGCTGGGGGCGGGGGCACTCTTCCCAGTAGCTGGGAAGACAGTATCTTTGTTACTTTTTGTGAAATTGTGCTCCCAAATATTTGCTGTTTAATAAGTTTTCCAGTCATGAGGAAATAAACAAGCAAATCCAATTATGATGGGACAACTACCCTAGTGTCTTCAAAGATGTTGACATCAAGAAAGAAAAAAAGGGAGGTGGGGGACCTTGTTTTCGATTAAGGGGACCTTAGAGATGTGGAGACCAAGTGCAGTGCGTGACCCTGGAGGGGCTCCTGCATCCAGGGACACAAGGCTGCAGAGAACAGGTTTGGGATCCTTGAAGAAATTTGAATATAGACTACTTGTCAGATTACATTATTGGATTAGGTTCAGTTTCTTGGATGAGAGATGGTAGTGTGGTTATGAAGAATAGCCCTGTTCTAAGGAGATACATACTCAAGTACTTAGGCGTGAGGTGTCAGAATGTCTACAGTTTACTTTAAAATGGTCTGACAAAGATTATGAATATATAAAGAGAGAAAGAAAAAGAATACAAATTGACAAAGTCTGAGCAATTGGTAAATCTAAGTGAACAGCACATAGGGGTTTATTGTATTAATACTATTCTTTCAACTTTTCTAAAGGTTTGAAAATCTTCAAAATAAGATGATGGGAAACTGTTTTCTAAAGAGAGGCAGGTGTGAGATCAGAAAACCCAAGAGTTGATTCCTGGGCATGACCTCGGGCAAGTCATCTAGTCTCTGCATCGTGGTTTCTCACCTATAACGTGGCAATGAAAAGTCCTATGATAAATAATGATTTTGTGGGGTTCAAGTGAAATGACTCTAAGGTATAAGGGATTTTTAAAATTTTTATATTGCTAGAGTTGGAAGAGATTCAGTTCTAAATTTTCTTTTTAAAAATGTATATTTATTTGGCTGCTTTGGGTCTTGTTTGCAGTGCACAGGATCTTTAGTTGTGGCATGTGGGATCTAGTTCCCTGACCAGGGATCAAACCCAGACACCCTGCACTGGGAGCATGGGGTCTTAGCCACTGGACCACCAAGGAAGTCCCCTAAATTTTACAGTGAAGGAAAGTAAGATGCCAAGGGACCCCATGTTGAAGAGCTAAGATTTGTTGAACTTGAGTCTTTGAGCACTAATGAAAGAATCATTATAAATACAAGTGTTAATGAGGCACTATGTATTTCAGACTGTTTACTGAATGAACAAAAGCAGTGTGTGTTTATGAAAATAGAGGCAACTCTTTTTTTTATTGTCTTGTGGTCATTTAACAAATCTTTGGAAATTTATTCTATGTGTTCCCTGATATTATATTTCTTTTTGTCCTTTCCAGCCGCTCTACTTTTGAAATAAAGACAACAGCCTATTAGAGTGAAGTCCAGACTTGGAAGCTCTTTTCTAGCAGTGGGATTTTCGTGAGCAGGAAATTACATTAGTACAAGAATGTAGAGCTGGAAAGGGGGCCTCGAGAGCATCTGGCACCTCTGGCTCATTTGGGCAGATGTGGAAACTGAGGCCCACAGAGGTCACTCAGTGGTCCCCAGTTGCCAGCCCACTGGTGGCAGAGCTGGGACTAGAATTCAGCCATACCTTGAGGTTCAGCTGCTCCTAGGACCCTGACGGGACCTCTAGTTTGTAGAACCTAAAGATGAAAGACAAGGGTTACATTGAAGTGACTGGGAAAGGAATGCTTGGAACAGAAGATGTGCTTCATGGTCCTAGATTTGAGAGTAAAGGGCTGCTTTGGGTCCTGGGCCTCAGGTGTGGGTGTACCATATGTGGGGGGCGGCGGCAAATACCTGGGGAATGGAGGGTGGGGGGTGAGAGCTTACTGAGTGAGCAGGGGAAAGGCCTAAGTAGGTGGACTTTTTCTTACTCCACCTGTAATTCAAATTGTCACCACCACTTTATTGGGTAATTGTTACATAAAAAAAGTCTCCATAGAATTATGGCAGACACTTGCTTTTGCATGTGTGTGTATGTGTGAGTTGAAATAAAATACACATATAAAATGTTGTATTAATAGTTTTGTAGTGAGATGTCTGGAGGGACTTCCCAAGTGGTCCAGTAGTTGAGACTCCCTGCTTCCTACTGCAGAGGCCATGGGTTTGATCCCTGGTCAGGGATTTAGATCCCACATGCCTCACAGCCCAGCCCAAAAGTTAAAAAAGAAATGTCTGGAGATCTTTTAAATAACCCCTAAGTAGAAAACACAGATTACTAGAGAAAAATTAGAGTTGCTTGTAGAGTCACAAGAGAAGCCCTACTTCCCCCTTTATTTCTCCTCTGCTTTGGACTGGTCGTCTCAGAGAACAGTCCAGCAATGTGGGCTTGTGGTAGCGTTTGTATGGCTACATCCCAGGGAGGAGCATCGGGGCTGGGGGGAATGTGACAGGGAGGGAAAGAGAACCAACAAGGGTGGTGGTGAGGGGTGTTCTCCAGCGGGTCCCCATGGTGGGCAGCAAAGGCTCGACCCCACAGGACTTGAGGAGCGGAACACAGCAGAGGAAGGGAGCACTCCTCCCTGGATCCCATGCTCTGTTGGCCAAGGATCATCCTATGGGATATATCGCATTTCCCTGATCCACAGATGGAGGCACCAGGCTAGTTCTTGCAAAGCCCGCCAGGCTCCTCTGTCCATGGAATTCTCCAGGCAAGAATACTGGAGTGGGTTGCCATGCCCTCCTCCAGGGGATCTTCCCGACCCAGGGATCAAACCCGGGTCTCCTGCACTGCAGGATGCAGAGGATGACCACCAACTGGAGGTAAAGTGGAAAGCACGCACCGAGGTGTCTGGCACACAGTGACCAGCCAGGGGATGGACTCTCACTACAAAGGGCATCTTTTGCTTGAGTTAAAAATGTCATTTATAGAGTTCCCTGGTGGTCCAGTGGTTAAGACTCCACCTTCCAATGCAGGGTTAGTGGGTTCAATCCCTGGTCAGAGAACTAAGGTCCTACATGCCACTTGGGGTGGTCAAAAATTAAAAAAAAAAGAGTCATTTATAGATCAAAACGTCAACACGTATGTATCATTTTTGTAACACGCATTGATTCCAGAGACAATAAGTGTTGGAGCAGCACTCAGGAAAGTAGTCTGCTAGCAAATCTTCAGTTTCCTAGAGTATTCATGACAACCTGTGACTTTGTCAGCACCCTTCTTTTTCCTCATCTTCTTCATGACCTAACTTTTTAGGCAGATAGAAAATAGCTACAATAATTATTATAATGTCATTTGCATATACATGTTATGCAACCTTATGTACCATATATATATATTGCCTGTGTGTATGTGTGTGTGTGCGCGCATGGTATATAAGCAAGTTAATCAATTCAGGTTAAGCTCTCTAGCATGTGTCTATAAAGCAGTGGTGAGGGAGTCAGGACAGAGCATGAAGAAAATATTTCCAAAATTTTGTAACCGATATGAACTTTTCAACCACAGAAAGACTGGATTTTCATAGGAACAACCCCCTAAAATTTTTTAGCTGTCCGATACAATATAGTTCTTAATCCTTTCATAACCTCTTTTTGTTTCACCCTACACACATTCAGAATGAAATTTGAGTGGTTCTGAAACATTCCAGAGAAACTTTAGCTTTTTGTTACATTTTTTATTGAGGACCATTTCATTTTCAGTTTGAGCTAGGACTTCTGAGGCTCAGAGAGTTTGAGGAACTTGTCCAAAGTCACACAGTTGGTACATGGCTGGACAGAATCAGGAAAGTATGACTTCTGGCCCTGCCAGGCCCCTTCACACAACAGCTTCCCTGCGTTTTGGGTTCTGTATCCTCTTCCACAGGCTTCAGTTCTCATGCCCGGCTCTGCTCTGGGAATCTGACCGTTGCCAGATGCTCCTGGCTGACACAGCCATGCAGCAGCCAGCAGGCTTGCAAGCCAGCCATCCCACCTGCCAAGTGAGAACTGGCCTTGCAGTCATTCTGGAAGCTATTCCCTGACATTATGTTTTATTGTGATTCTTGTTTACTCCAAAGAAAGCCATGAGGCGTGGTTCCTGCAAAAAGTGATTAAAGGGGTTGGATTGTGGGGGAGGCAGGCAGAAAGGCCTCTGGTCAGAGCCCTGAGGGCCTTGGTGGGACCAGGAAAGGAACTGGGAACCAGTCAGGCACGTGTAGGGGGAGAAGAGTTGATGGCAAGATAGCTCTTTGGGTGCACCACCTGGGAGCTGTGTATGTGTGAGTCACCCACTGGAATCTGAGTCAGCTCCAGGAGTGGGTCACTGCCCCTATCCAAAGAGCTAAGCAGCACCTTCCAGCCTCTTGTAGAGCTTCTGGTAGCAGTCTGGGTTCAACCTGGAGTCAGAAACCACACAGCAGACTAAGTCAGGGATGCTTCACATAAAGAATAACTGATGAAAGAGAAGCAACTATGAGATAAAGTGAACTCCGCAGGGTACCCTAGGTCTGCGTGAGGGGAACCAGAGGGAGCACAGTCTTGGAATGGTCCTGGCTTCATGGAAACCCTGGAGGGTTTCAACCCAGGAGACAGCAGAGAGGCTGGCTGGTTAGCCTGAGCTGGAGCTGGAAAGGCCACCTCTCGAGTCTGAGCCAGGCTGCAGGAGCCCTGCAGAGCCTGCGTGGGGGCTTGCAGAGGTCCACAGAGTAGGGGGGTCCCTGTGCAGGGACTCGGGGTGCCATGTAGCAAGGGCTGTGGAAAGGTTATGGCCAATCTGAGGTGGCAAGGTCACAGAGGAACCAGGTCCTGGGCTCGTGCCTGGGCAGGGCTCCACCCGGTGTCCTCACACTGGTGCCCACCAGCCCAGCCCCTGCAGGAGACCCACTCACCTCCCCTGCAGTGTCCCTCCAGCACCCTCTACTGAGAAAGCTCAGCATCATGCTCACTTTAGAAGAGAAATGCCTTGTGTTTTAGAGAGCATCTATGAAAGGGTGCATCATCTATGCATTCAGCCCTGACAGGCAACACATTTGAAACTGACACACAACCCCACCATAGGGTGGAAAGGTTCACAGCTGCCATGACCATGACAGATGTGGGTTCAAGTCCCAGTCCCACCACTTACCAACTGTGTGACCTTGAGCAAATAACCTCTCTGAGCCTGTTTCCTCTGCTGCGAAGTGAGGATCATAACATTCCCTTTGAGGACTGCTATGTGGAATACAAGAGCCCAGGATGGTACCTGGCTCATAGGAGGCACTGAGTAAGTGGCCATAATTACGTTAGGTGCAGACTACAGTTCTAAAGCTTTATTCTATTTCTCTAAAACTTGTGAAGGCAACAGATCACAGAAATAATTTATATAAAACTGCTTTGAAATGTGGAAAGAGCTATAAACACCTCTTAATCATCTCTTTTCACAAATAAACTGTTTTTCAGTATTTCAGTGCCAGTACTTTAGCTGTTTTCAAGGAAGTTACCTGGGAAAATGCCTGTAATTTTGGGTTGCTTCCCCTTCACATTTCTTTATTCCCTGTGGCTAAAGATGGGGTTTTTCTTTTTTATTTCTCTCTCTCTTTTTTGGCTGAACTACACAGCTTGTGGGATCTTAGTTCCTCAACCAGGGACTGAACCTGAGTCCCCCTACATTGAAAGCACAGAGTCTTAACCACTGGACCACCAGGAAAGCCCCCATTTTTCTTAACTTTCTTCTCACTGACTGGCAGGTATACGCCTCTACTTTTCTCACTATATATCTTTTTTTTTTCAGTAAAATTTCTCACTGAATTATATGACCATCCTAGTTACATTCAGAGAGTGAAATAATTTGTATCAGATGCACAGAGGAAGGAGCTGGGTGAAGGGGAGGGCAGGCTCACAGTGACCCTGGATGGATGGCAACTGTGGGTCACGGAGCTGACGAGCAGGGAGCTAGAGAGGGCCGAGGGAATGCTCTAGCTTTGCACAGATGCCATTGCGATGATATTTCTCGCTCACCTGAAACCTCACCTCCACAGCTCTGCAGACAGGGAGGTGATTCAGGGAACTGAATTAATGTCCCAAGACTCCCCAGGAACCATTTGGATCGAATGTTTCTGATTCCCAAAATGAACCCATGTTACGTCTTGGCCGAGAGGACTTGCCAGACTGTGAATTCCCCTGGGAATTCTGAAGGGAACCAGGGAACCAACTGTATCTTTTTCACCATTTTTCTCCATATCTAGCCTTGCATGTCTGGAGAAGGAAATGGCAACCCACTCCAGTATTCTTGCCTGGAGAATCCCAGGGACAGCGGAGCCTGGTGGGCTGCCGTCTATGGGGTCGCACAGAGTCGGACACGACTGCAGCAACTTAGCAGCAGCAGCAGCCTTGCACATCAGAGGTGCTCCAGAGGGGCTGGCTGACGGGATGGATCAACAGCTTGCCCAGGCTGCAGACAAGGAAGACATTCCACACCCCTAGGGGTGCTCCCAGTTACCCCTGGAGTTTGGGTGTCTAACCAGAATGACCTCAACTGGTTACACATTTTGACTTAGAGCTTTTAAATGCTCAGGCAGCCCAGCCTGGGAACATTCCCGGGTGTGAGGATGGCGCCTCCCACTCCCCCACCCCCCACCTCCAGGCAGTCACACTTTCCAGGAGGTCCGCTGAACCGATGCACTCAAGGCAGGGTGGAGACTGCGTTGGGGATCAGGGTTCGGGGATCAGGATGAGTCAGGGCTGGCTGTGCTGCCGGGCCACACAAAAATACCACCCCCGGAGCCCTGGCCCAGCCCAAGCCTCAGGGCTTCTTAGCTGGGTGCTTTCCCTGCCTCCTTCCAGGGAGAAACATTTCCAGTACTGTAGTTCACCGAAGCTAAACTCCATAGACTGTAGCCCACGGGGCTCCTCTGTCCATGGAATTCTCAGGCAAGAACCCTGGAGTAGGTTTCCATTTCCTTTTCCAGGGGACCTTTCCAATCCAGGTATTGAACTCCTGCATTGCAGGCAGATTCACCATCTGAGACACCAAGGAAGTGCTTCCTTGAAGCTAAATACCAGCAACCATGAGAGGGCGCCTTGATTCCAGACATGAGAAAATGTGAAAGAATGTGTGGTTTAAGATTACTGAAATGTGGGCACATCCAGGAGGGTTGAGTTCCATTACCTGAGAGGTCAATTTTGAAGGGTTAAGCTAACAAGTGATGAAAGACAGAGAATGTCTTCCTGACTCTCTGGGCTGTAGCCTCAGGCGTTGCACTGACCGCCCTCCCCCACCATCCTGCACACCGGGGAACTCTGGGCTGGAGCCAGGTCCTACTGCCTGACATGGTCAGCAAGAGGAAAGGCCGATGATTTAAGCATATCTTTTGTATTCCAATACTTTGACATTTTGGCCTTGCCGCTACAGAAGGGACTGCCTCTCACAGGGGAGTATTTCTAAAGATAGTAAATGACTCACTGTAAGCACACCTCTCAGATGCAAACCAACCAATCCAGAGCCCACAACCTACCCTCTCTTCCTTCAAACTCACACTCAGGGCCCCTATTCTTCCACCTGATCAATGGGGGCCAGGTACAAGACAACTGGGGACAACTCCTAGGGACAGCTTCAAAACCTTGCAGAAATTATCCAAAGTAACCAATCCTAAACCTGCTTATCCTGCCTCACTCATTCCTTCCCTTGGAAATCACAGTAAAATGCTCGCCCATGTTCCCCCGCCCTCCTGACCAATTCTGGTGCTTCCCTGGGTGGCCCCTGTGGAGTCGTGTGCCCCTTCCTCTAGAGATCAGTGAGTCTAACAACTGTCTTTTCAATGGCAATGTCTCCAGATCTGTTGGCCTCGCCATTGTCTGAGTCACGGACTGTAATTGACCCCATGGACTGTTTGTGACCCCATGGACTATAATCCACCAGGCTCCTCTGTCCATGGGATTTCCCAGGCAAGAATACTGGAGTGGGTTGCCATTTCCTCCTCCAGTTAATCTTCCCAATCCAAGGATCGAACTCTCATCTCCTGTACTGCAGGTGGATTCTTTACCACTGAGCCACCCAGGAAGCCTGTTGACCTCACCATATATGAACCATAATCCATCCTACATTTTAAAACAGCTGCTCCTGTTATATTCAAGGGCTGCTATATGCCATAATGCTAATCAAAGTAGTAATAGCAGTGACTTAATACCTAACCAATGTCATCCACACTTCTCCCCTTCTCCATGATTCAAACCTCTACCAAATTCCTATAGGAATCCTTCCTTGTCCAAAGCTAGCTTTGGAAAGGGATCTGACAGAATATGTTACTTCTTACAGACACATCTGTATTGTGATAAGGGGGGAAAAAAGCAAGCCATGCAGGGAATTTGTTCATTGTTGAATTTCAGACATCCCAGAAGATGCTAAGGATCTTCCCAATATCCTAGCATCAGACCTCACCTACCCATAAATCAAACCTTCTAATGGGAACCATTTTAACTGTGTACAAGCTTACTGTATTTTGAATACTATACTCTGTGCTAGGCATGTTGCTATCCAATTTATTATTTGTGAGCTTTTTATTATGGGCTTCCCAGGAGACGCAGGGAATGGAGGTTCAATCCTGAGCCAGGAAGGTCCCCTGGAGAAGGAAATGGCAGCCCACTGCAGTATTCCTGTCTGGGAAATCCCATGGACAGAAGAGCCTGGCGGGCTATAGTCCGTGGGGTCACAAGAAGTCGGACATGACTTAGCAACTGAGTACACATGCACAAGTTTTTTATTATGGAATTTTTCAAACATTCACAAAAGTAGAGAGAATGACACAAACCCTAACATGCCCATCACCCAGCTCTGACAGCTGTCAGCCCAGCCCAGTCTTGTTTCACTGTCCTTCCCCCTCCCCAAACCCACTTATTATCTTAAAACAAATCTCAAACATGGTCATATCTTTGAAACCCTATTTAAATCCCATCCTCTATATAGTCTAGTTTTAGACCTTCTTCCTCACAGTACAGTCTTGTCTCTTTCTTTTAATACAGTTGCTAAATGGAATCTGGAGAATGTGGACTTCCAGGAACTGAAGTCAGAGTTAACAGAGGTTCCTGCTTCCCAAATCTTGAAGGAGGGCCTGTCTGGTCATCCCAGAAGTGAAGAGGAAGGCACTGGTATGGAGTTAAGTTTCTCCTCTTCTGTACCCACATGGTCTAGTTCTGTGCTGAGTTGCTCAGTTCACTATGCGGGAGGCGGGCGGACAAGTAACCTCCCTGGGGGCAGAGGCAGGAAAGGGGAAAAAGAACAAACCCCTTTTCTGCTCCCTTTCCAGGGTATACTGGCAGGGAGTCGGTCTTTCCTAGCAAAGCTCTGTATTTTGTCACTTACACTTTTCATGGAGACTGCACTGCCCCAGGGGAAGATGAGAGATGTACCCATTTTTCCCACTTGGTTGTCATATAGAATGGATTGCATCTGAAAAATGACATTTTTCAAGTAGATCCTTCATATCTTTATCTTGGGGCCAGACAGACACCATGTACCATCCCAGCATATTGTTAACTGAAGGTATCCTTCTTTAATTTTGAGTACTGAGGAAAAGTAGCATTGCCCCTCTCCAAGGTATAACCTGAAAGCCTGACTTTAAAATGATGAAGACTCTTGTCTTTCAGAAACAGGGACTATCGGTAATATTGAAAGTTATTACTAGCACAGAAAGGTATGCAGGAGGATGGGGAGTTTTAAAATATTCAAAATAAGGTTCCTTGAGATATGGGCAACAAAGAGCTTCCACTTTCTCTAAGAAAACTGAGATACCCATTATAATACAGAGATGTGCTGTGATTCAAATAGTTCTCAAACATCTCATTTTAAAAATCATATTCAGATTTTACTGTATTAAAATGATGGCTGAAGTATGTGGTCCATTGGGGAAGGGCTTGAAAAACTTTGTTTTATTGAGATTATTATAGTGACTTGATTTTATCTCACTGTTTAAAATAATAAAATAAAGCAGACATAAAAATCATAAAGAGTAATATAATGAACACCATGAGAACTTGCTCAGGTTTAGAAAAATATACAAATATAGTGTAAAGCGCTCTGTGCAGCCTTTATCTTTACAACCAATACCAAGTTGATGTATTTATGGAAAACAATCCACATATAAGTGGACTCATATAATTCAAGGCTGTGTTGTTCAAAGGTCAGCTGTACTTGGATTCACATTACATGGTGATCAAATAATGTTTCCTAGGCATTTACTTTATCCCAAGCACTTAACATGTATAATTACATGTAAAGTTTACAACCCTACTACCCCAAACATTACCCTTATCTCCGTTTACAAATGAGAATACTGAGTCTTAGAGAGTTAAGTAACTTATTGAAAGTCATATAAGTGGCAGATGGCAAAGCCCAGGGTTGTTTTTGTTTTTGTTTTGGCATTTTCTTTACTAGTGTCGGGGCTTCCCTAGTGGCTCAGATGGTAAAGCATCTGCCTGCAGTGCAGGAGACCCGGGTTCGATCCCTGGGTCAGGAAGCTCCCCTGGAGGACGGAATGGAACCCACTCCAGTATTCTTGCCTGGAGAATCCCATGGACAGAGGAGCCTGGAGGGCTACAGCCCATGAGGTCACAGAGAGTCAGACTAGACTAAGTGACTAACACTTTCACTAACACTTTACGAGTGTTACCTTTTAATGTCATTCACTAGCCAGGATAAAGTTTGAGGAAAAATTTTGAGGACAGTTTGGAGTATTGTGGAAAATGATATTTCATAATCTGAAACCACCCATTTGTGCTTCTCTGGACTGGCAAATAGAGGCCTGGGGTGGGGGGCAGTGTGCCTCAGTTTCCTCCCCAACAACTGAATTTTTATAATATCTCAAAATTGAGGGGGCTTCACTGGTGGCTCAGACAGTAAAAAAAAATCTGCCTGCAATGCAGGAGAGGTGGGTTTGATCCCTGGGTCAGGAAGATCCCCTGGAGAAGAGAATGGCAACCCAATCCAGTATTCTTGCCTGGAGAATCCCTTGGACAGAAGAGCCTGGCAGGCTGCAGTCCGTGGGGTCACAGAGTTGGACACGACCGAGCCACACACACACACACACACACATACACAGAAAAAAAAAAAAAGTTTAGGTTTAAACCTGGACTGCCTGCCTCTGGGGTTCTCACTTGTGTGGGTTCTGCCATGCTCCACATCCTGGAACGATGGTGAATACACAGCTTTTGCTTTGTTTTCATTCACCAGGATGCGGAGAACTGGTTTGGGTAGGAGAACCTGTCACTCTGAGAACAGCTGAAACCATCACCGGCAAGTACGGCGTGTGGATGAGAGACCCCCAGGCCGCCTACCCCTACACCCGGGAGACCACCTGGAGAATCGACACCGTGGGCACGGACATCCGCCAGGTGTTTGAGTACGACCTCAGCGGGCAGTTCGCGCAGGGCTACCCTTCCAAGGTGCACGTGCTGCCCCGGCCGCTGGAGAGCACGGGCGCCGTGGTCTACCGGGGCAGCCTCTACTTCCAGGCGGCCAAGTCCAGGACGCTGCTCCGGTACGACCTGCGCACCGAGACGCTGCAGGCGGAGAAGGAGATCCCCGGGGCCGGCTACCACGGGCAGTTCCCCTATTCCTGGGGCGGCTACACCGACATCGACCTGGCCGTGGACGAGACAGGCCTCTGGGTCATCTACAGCACCGAGGCGGCCAAAGGCGCCATCGTCCTCTCCAAGCTGAACCCGGAGACGCTGGAGCTCGAACAGACCTGGGAGACCAACATCCGCAAGCAGTCTGTCGCCAACGCCTTCATCATCTGTGGCACCTTGTACACGGTCAGCAGCTATTCCTCGCCCGACGCCACTGTCAACTTCGCCTATGACACGGGCACGGGGAGCAGCAAGGCCCTGACCATCCCGTTCAAGAACCGCTACAAGTATAGCAGCATGATCGACTACAACCCCCTGGAGAGGAAGCTCTTTGCCTGGGACAACTTCAACATGGTCACCTATGACATCAAGCTCTCCCGGATGTGAAAAGCTGCCAAGCTGTCAGAAAAGGCAGAAGGAGATGATGTTCATGGCTCTTGAAGGAGAGCCAGTCAGCCAAGGCCCACACAGCTTTCCTCTGCTCTCCAAGCTTGCATTAACCCAGAAGAATGTGCATGGTCACCAGGTCTGACTGGGCGGGAAGAGCCTTCTGGGGACTGGGGATTGAGACGATTCCATGTTATCATAGATATTCTTTTCCTCTGTCTGCTCTTAAACGGATACTTAATCAAAATAGTGTGACTTTTCTGGTGATTTGAGGCAAAAGCTATAATGTGTAGGGAGTTTCTTCATGAAAACCACAAGACTTGATAAATGGGCCTCACTGGCTAAAGAATGTATATTTGGAGAGGAGGTTGGAAAAACAGGTTGCCCCACGGGGAACCCAGGGCCAAGGCCTGCCCTTGCATGTTGCCTGGTTACCATGAGCTATAATAACAAACAGCGCTTCTAAAGGAAAGGGGATAGTTCTTGTGGCAGCATGAACATGCATAAGATGTGTTTACTATAGTTGGCTTCTAATGCATCAGGTGGATCCAGTTGTGTATGACAGAATCTTTGCCCCATGAAATAAAATAATCTTACACAATGTTCTCTTTGAACTTTGTGTGATAGTTTGTGGAAGAGAAGAGTACAGATTCTAACCATCAGATAATTCCTTTGGGTTGGGAGTGGTGATTGCAGGATGCTATGTGTATCTATGTATCTGTGTATGCTATGCTATGTGTGTGTATATGCGTAACTGAAAGGTTTGTGCCTGGTTTTGCAGTCTTGCCCATGATGACACCAGGCAAACTGAGGAGTTCATTCCTTCCCACCCCCATCTCCTTTTACTTTTGGTCCTTCTCAAACAATCTTTCCATCTTTTCTCCAACTTACCCTCTTTCACCCTAGCTGTAATTTGGTTTTTATTTGCTGTCATGGGTATAACTTTCAAAAGCCAAGACCTCAGGTGAGCAGACCTAAAGAATTCAATGAGTTCTTTACCTAAATTTAATTCTCTCTTTACAGGTCTGTCTCCAAAGACATCAAAATATGAGGTACTGGGGGCTAAGACTTTAACATGTGAATGGGTGGGAAAGACAATTCAACCCATATCAACTGGGTATTACCACTCTACTCCACTGGAGCAAACTCTTAAAGACTAGAAAATTCAGAAGTCAGTGCATGAACTCATTCACCTCTAAGCACCTTTAGCTGCCAGGTGTTGAATAAAAAGTGGAGGGTGAGGAGACACCTTTGGGTGGTGAGTGATCACAGCACACACACAGGGGAGGCAAACTCTGCTAGCACAGCCCTGTCCATGTTTATTTCCTTCCACCAGCTACTGCTTCCAGGTTTGGGACTGAAGAAGAGAGTGAAGAAAGGAGAAACAGAAAGGAGAAGGGAAGGGCATTAGACTACTCCTCCTCTGTGGACTATTACTTCTGGGGTTTTGTTTGTCTGCTGGTTCCTCCTTCTAGTCTGTATTAGTCAGGGTTCACCAAAGAAATAGAACTAATAGGAGATATATAGGTATAAGTACGAATGTAAAAAAAGAGATTTATTATGAGGAATTGGCTCATGTAACTAGGGAGAAGTCCCACAGTCTGCCACCTGCAAGTTGGAAACCCAGGAAAACTGGTGGTATAATTCCCTCTGAGTTCAAAAACCTGGAAATTAGGGGAACCAATGGGATAAGTCCCAGAGCAAGGGCAGAAGACCAATGGGAGGCCAGCAGGAAGCAAAAGGGGTGAATTCCTCCTTCCTCTGCCTTTTTGTTCTTTTCAGGCCCTACATGGATTGTATGATGCTCACCCTCCCTGGGAAAGGTGATCTACTTTAGTGAATCCACCAATTCAAATGCTAATCTCATTCAGAAATACCCACTCACAAACATACTCAGAAAGGATTAATCTGGCCACCCCTTGGTTGGTCCAGTCAAGTTACATGAAACTGACTATCATAAAGTCCCAACCTCTTGAGACTGCAGCTCTCCAGGGCTTACTTTAGGGTTTATCTACTCATTCCTCTGATGATCTTACCCAGCCTCATGGTTTTAAATGCCACCTCTATGATGATAATCCTTCAAATTTATATCCTCAGCCCAGACTGCTACTGAAATCCAGATTCATGTATTAATTAGTGATTAATAACTAGATTATTAGATTTTTAATACATGCATCTGGATTTCAGGAGAAGTCTGGGCTGAGAACATAAATTTGAAGAATCTACCTGCAATGAGGAGACCCTGGTTTGATCCCTGGGTTTGGAAGATCCCCAGGAGAAAGGAATGGCAACCCACTCCAATATCCTTGCCTGAAAAATTCTATGGACAGAGAAGCCTAGTGGGATGCAGTACATGGAATCGCAAAGAGACACGACTGAGCGACTAACACACACCCAGACCACCATATTCAAAATTCCGCTCACCTGGTGCTTCCATGCCACTTCTTACTCTTATTATTTTAAAATTTTAATTGGAGAATAATTACTTTATAATGTTGTATTGGTTTCTGCCACACAACAGTGCGAATCAGCCATAGGTATACACATATCCAGGAACCTCCCTCCCAGCCCCACGCCATCCGACCCCTCTAGCTTCTCACAGGGCACCAGGCTGAGCTCCTGGTGTCATAGAGCAACTTCCCACTAGCTATCTATGTTACACATGGTAGTATGTATGTTTCAGTGCTACTCTTTCAATTCATCCACTCTCTCCTTCCTCCACTGTGTACACAAGTCTGTTTTCTACGTCTGCGTGTCTACTCCTACCCTGAAAATAGGTTCATCAGTGCTCTTTTTTTAGATTCCATATATATGCTTTAATACATGATGTTTGCTTTTCTCTTGCTGACTTACTTCACTCTATATAACAGGCTCTGGTTCATCCACCTCACTAGAACTGACTCAAATTTTTTTCCTTTTTATGGCTGAGGAACATTCCATTGTGTATATGTACCACAACTTCTTCATCCATTCATCTGTCAGTGAACATCAAAGTTGCTTCCATGTCCTGGTGATTGTAAATAGTGCTGCAATCAACACTGGAGTACATGCATTTTTTTTTTGAATTATGAGTTTCTCAGAGTATATGCCCAGTAGTAATTGCCCTGTCTTATCATTTTTAACTGTCTCTTTCTTTACATTTATCATCTCCTAACATATAATTCCATTATTTTTAAATATTTTTTTCTGTCTTCTCCCACTGGAACATAAATTCCATGAGGGCAGGTATTGTTTTGTTCAATAATATGTCCCTAGAGCAGTGCTCAGCTCACATAGTAGGTACTTGATATTTTTTGAACAAAGAAACAAACAAAAAATATCCTGGAACTTGCTCAGAAAAAAACTGAAAATAAAGCTACCACAAGGGGTACCCCTTCCCACCATTTCCCCTCCTTGATTCTACTCTTAGCTGGTTGTGTGACCTTAGACAAGTCACTTAATCCCTGTTCCAGAGCTAATAGAACTTTCTGTAATGAGAGTCATGCTATCTTAACACCCAATATGGTAGCCACCAGTCACATGAAGCTATTGAACACCTAAAATATGACTAGTGCAAAGAACTGAATTTTATATTTTATGTAATTTTGATGAATTTATGTTTAAGCAGCCATATGTGGCTAAAGGCTACCCTATTGGAGTGTCTAAGTGTGTTTTCTCATCTGACTGAGGATGAGGTGATGTGTGTTGAGTCCCCAGCTGGCAAGGACGGGAGCTCCAGGCATGCTCCCCCGTCCCTGCTGCAGTGGACACAAGGCGAGGAAGCTGACTTCCACATCAATAGCAGAGCTCTCTGACTAGGTGGGGAGGGGGATATGAGCATACTTACAAGGGTGGACTTGGACAGAGAACACCCACAGGGGCTCTGTGAAGAAGTGAATGCAATAAAAGATGGCCTTTTGGGGGCCCAGGGCAGTTTCCCCCAAAATATGCCTCAATGAAATATGGATTATCTTGAATTACTTAATAAGGGGCCAGTGCAAGAGGAATACTCTGACCCTCCTTTCTGTTTGACCCTAAAAATAGGAAATAAACCTCTCGTGTAAAAGGACACCCTTATGGTCAGAGAGAGAATTCAGGCTGAGAAGTCTATATAAACAAATCTTTGTGTTTTTTTTTAAATTTACTACTTGGAGGCCAAACTCCATTTAGATTCATTAACTGAGCACCCCAAACCTAAATTGTTTTATCCTGTCCACTCCTCACAAATGTATTGTTTCTTTGCCTGTCTAAAAAGAATAAAAACTTCCTGCTTTGGTCCCATTTCCATGACATCTTCACGCGCATGAATCAAAATTTGTTTCTCTTTTTTCTGTTCATCTGCCTGGCATCAATTTTATTATTAATCCAGTCACCAGAACTCAAGAGGGATAGAGAAGGAAATTTCCTCTTCCCCAACAGCACCTGAGGATATTTCTCAGATGTGGACGTGGATGATCACCTCTTTGATGCTTTCAGGCTCTTCACAAGAGCCCTTGGGAGTCCTTAGAGGTGCTTTGGGGTGTCTTGAGCATGGGATCTGAGCAGTAGTCTTCTCCTCCCTAACTAGGTCACTTTGCACTTGACTGCTTTTCCAGTTAAGTGTCTTCTGTTAGAGTTTGAAGTTTACTTAAACCTCCGAGAAATAAATTTTGAAAATGTTGTCCATAAATGTGAAATACAGCCCAGTCCCACCCCAGAAGACAGGATGTAGCTACAAAAGAACATAAAACTATTGTGCCCCAGGCTGAGCTTTGAAAACCCAAACCCCTCAGAGTTCTCTGGAACTCAGACCTTTAAATTCACAGAGGCCTGGCCTTTTCATTCATCCAAATTTATTAACAAACATTGGAGGCCTGATCACTTTTTTAAAATTCAAATACAACTGACTACCATAACTGTTCTCTAGCACAACAAAAATTGACTACTGAATATAAACATCAGAGAATTGGCTTGAGACCAAAGGTTAAGTGCCCGAGGAAGGGTAAACAGTGCTCAATGGTGGTTGTAGAAGAAAACTAGGAAAGAAAGAATAAAGATTTTCCAAGACATTCTTCAAAACCAACCCCAATGACTTCGTCAAAACTGTTTTCTGGAGTTTCCTGTCAAAGTCCAGCTCAAAATGACCGATGTTTTAGGTTCTTAGGAAGTCTTCAGCTGGAGAGGGAGGTGGGGCTGGGGGGACTTTGGGGCTAGCTGCACTCGGAAGGGCTTGTCTGGATTCCACATCTGAGGGTATTTCCCCAGCGTCATCAATTTGCTTGGTAAATCTTTCTTCTCTGGGAGGAAAGGGACACTGAATGTCATTTAAATAAAACCAGGATTTTTAAACAGAAGGAAAAAAGAACACCCAGGTCCCAGCCCCTGAAGGGAGCATTCAGCATTTGAGATGACATCCTGCCTCCCATAAAATTACGTACTCTCTATTTACACTTTGCTTGTCATTTCTTCTCAAAGAGAGTTGAACCATCTCCTCTGGTCCCACGGAACCAACGTAGCTGGGGTTCACCCCTACCAGCTAGCTCTCTGTAGTTTCTCTAGGGCAGGCTCTCTCTCTCAAGATTTTATTTGCATCTGGCCACCTGAGTTCGGTCCCTGGGTTGGGAAGATCCCCTGGAGGAGGAAATGGCAACCCACT